GAAGTATTTGATATTGTAGAACAAAGTGTTAAAATCTATTTTTTTAACCACAGACCACATTTCAGGATAACAACCAAAAACACATTCAGAAAACCGTTGACCTCCAGATGAGTTAACCTGAAGTGGGGAAAATGCTGAGTCGTGTCAGGGTTTGGGACTCATTCCCACCCCTCTCTCTTCCCCCTGTAGGTCACAGAGCCGTGTACGTGGGCGTCCATGTTCCTCTGGGTCGAGAGAGTCGCCGGCGGCACCGGCACCGAGGACACCGACACCACCGGAAACGCAGGGACCGCTCCGACCGGGAGGACGGGCAAGAGTCGCCATCAAACGGTGCGTCCAGTATTTAAACAAACACACACACACATACATACACCTTATTTGTATTTAATTAAAGGGGACCTATCATGCAAAATGCACTTTGTGATGTATTTTATACATAAATATGTGTCCCCGGTGCGTCGGGGAACTTCACGCAGCGTCAGAAAATAAAAGCCTCTCTCTTTTCCACCCAAATCTTTTAAAAACAGGGGTACAACGAGCGGATACAGATTTGACTGCGGATATGACGTCAAATGGGCTGCGGACCCACAGAGAGTTGCTATCAGAAACAATGCCTGACGTGTTTTGGACGTAATCTCGTCTTTGTTTACATTAGCAAGCCTCGCTAACACTCAGAGCTAACCTGTACTGGAGAGCACATGTGTTTAAAAAGCAGGAAATAAAAAAAAGAACTCACCTTGTGATAAACCTGCAAGAGAAAAAGCATTTGAGCTCCATACTGTTTCAGAAAGAAGCTTTGATGTGGTTTAGAACAGGATGGCGTTTTATCACAGCAGAATTTAACTTTATCTCCGGTAGAATTCTGATCAGGCATTAGCTCCGCCTCTTCTTTTTTTTTTTTTTTCAAGCTAAAGACCCAAAATCCGCGTTTCTCTAACAGGGCTGCAAAAGAGGGGTATGATGAGCAGTATGAGGCATGGCTACAACGGGTGTTTGGTATTTTAAGCAAAAAACTTCACAAACATGTTTTGTATAGGTATGGTATATTTTTCCAATATAGCATGATAGGTCCACTTAAAATTATTAAATGTTCTGACATTTTTTAATATTATTTCAGACTTTTGTTTTTGACTTCTTTCACTCAACTGAGTTTTTTTTAACTTATTTTCTCTGATATTTATTCAACAATATTCACATATTTTTGGACTTCTTTCCTGGATTTATTTTGTTGTTTTTCTTAACATATTCTCAGACATTTTCCACATATGTTTTCTTACATTGTTCACACATCTATTTGACATTAAAAAAAAAAAAATACGGACATTATTTGTACTCTTTTCACATATTTCCTCACTGACAACTAAACTGACATTATGTTCCTGCAGACACGCCGTCCCAGAAGCTGCAGTTAGACAGACTTATTGTTATTTAAATTTATTATCTGACTATTTTACGTATCTTTCCTTGACACAATGAGACCATTTTCACATATTTCCTGACATTGCTCGCTCATTTATTTGACGAAATCTAGCATATTTTCTGACATTATTCAGCCTTTTTTCACATATGTCCTGCAGACACGCCGTCCCAGAGGGTGCAGTTCATCCTGGGGACGGAGGACGGAGACGAGGAGCACATTCCCCACGACCTGTTCACCGAACTGGACGAGATCACCTTCAGAGACGGAGACTTCCAGGAGTGGAAGGAGACGGCCAGGCGAGGACACACTCTTTCATTTAAACAACTTTATTCACATGTACACTGCAGTGTCATGGATTAACTCCTATAATATCTGACTTATTTCATTTTTTAAATCAGAATTAAAATCAGGTTCATTGCCAAGTATACGCTAAAGTTGGCTTTGGAGTGTAAGTGAGGGATAATGTGCAGCGAGGCGGTCATTAATGAAAACCCACGCAGAGTGTTTTTTTTCTCATGAGCAGGATCCCCATGCTTATTACACAGCCACATACTAAATAAACCAATGTTAGATCATGTTAATTGAAAAGGATGTTATTGATTTAAAAATGATCCTATTGCTTCTGCTAAGAAAAAACAGCAGCACTGATTGAGGTTTTCTGTAACTGTCCATTCTCAGATTCAGGTTTATCACCAGGTCGGTTGACACGTACGAGGAATTTGACTTGATGTCGTGGTGCATAAATAAAAGTAAAACAAAAATGTAAAACACAGATAGAGAACTATTATTAAGAAAACTATAATAGCATTAAAACATATAGTAAAATATAGCAGTATTTACATTGAAATAGAAAAAAAGTCAAATTCTGAGAGAAAGTCAAATTCTTACAAATATCAAATTCTGAGTAATAAGCAACATTTCGAGTGCAAAAATGAAATTCTGTGAAAAAAAAAATTCTGACAAATTAACTAATTCTAAGAAAAAAATCGAATTTCAAGTCAAAAAGTGAAATTTCAAGTAAAAAAAGTCAAATTCGGACAAATACAGTAGTCTAGTCATTTCCTCTAAATTCACCAAAAGTAAGCATAACGCCAAAATATAGCAGTATTTACATTGAAATAGATAAAAATTCAAATTCTGAGAAAAAGTTGAATTCTGAGTAATACGTGAAATTTAGAGTAAGAAAATAAAATGTTGACAGAAAAAAGATTCTGACATAGAGTGGCGAAGTCACGCCCATCTACTTCCGGTCCATGGGACCTTATTTAGGAAAAAGTATGTATTGAAGTCAATGGAGAGAGAAAACTTATCTTTCGATCCCGTTTGAATTGTGCCATGAATTACACATATGATGTTTGTCAATCTTAAAAAATCATTTCCTAGTCAAAAAAGTCAGTTTGTCGTAAAACTGTTGAAATATGAGACTATGAAAAATACGCAACTAGAAAGACTACAAATCCCAGTCGCACAATTCAAACGGGATCAAAAGATAATCTTTCTCTCTCCATTGACTTCAATACATAATCTTTTCCAAAATAAGGTCCCGTGGACGTCCACCGGAAGGGGAGGGACTTCGCCTCTCTATAGAAGTCAAATATCGAGTAAAAAAATACAATTCTGACAAAAAAACTAATTATAAGAAAAAAATCTAATTCTGACAAAAAGTGAAAATCTTAAAAAGCTCAAATTTTATAAAACTCATAATCTGAGAAAAAAAGTCAAATTTCGATTAGGAAAATCTAATTCTGACAAAAAAACTAGTCGAGTAATTTCCTCTAAATTCGCCAAAAGTAAGCATCCCATAACGCCTCTTTTCAGAGTCAGGTTTATCTCCAGGTAGGTTGACACGTACGAGGAATCTGACTTGATGTCATGGTGCATACATGAAAGTAAAACAAAAATGTAAAACACAGAAAGAGAACTATTTTAAGAAAACTATAAAAACATAAAAAAATACAGTTTTACATAGAAATGGAATGGAATCAAATATGTGCAGTAATAAAACATACACAAAAACTATGAATGTCCTTAAACCCTGCAGAGCCCAGACAGTCTACTGCAGCGGGAGAAATAAGAATCTTCAGCCTGGATAAAAAAATGGATACTAAGAGTTGCATTTCACCCGTGCTGCGTCATATGATACGATTATACTTTAATGGCCAGATCCAGTCTGAAATGCTCCTTGCATCACAGCAGCTCCATGTGTAACATCAACAGACAAACATCAACACATGAGAAA